AGTCGATCAAACACAAAGAAGATGAAAAAGTGTTATTATGATTACAGAATAAAACACAAGAGCTCCTTGAATAATCGTAAACTAATAATTAAAAGTATTTTAAAAGATTGGTTCTTCTTGTAATGATTTGGATATTTCATCAAAATAACAGTAGAATCATATTCTAATTTAGTCCTAAGAAAACGACAAAACATTTTTGATTAATTCAGTTTCTCAGAGTGACCAATGATAATGATGATCCGTAAACTTTATATTTGTTTGAATGAAATGTGTTTCTGATATGCCTAAAAAGACTTGACAGCTCAGCCCAAAGCTGCTCCTGTTGCTGATCATGTGTAAGGAAGATTTGCTAAGCAATAGTAAAAGATTTTGATACAAAATTATTGGTGGAACTCGGGATCACATCTCCAGCGTTAATTATAGTTAGCATTTTATTAAAAGCACTATTTGTCAGCTAGTATACCAGTACTAAAAGCCGAACTTCACAAAATTGGGACTAGTTATCTTCTTTCACTTCTTTATTTATTGTCAAACAAAGCACATCCAAAATGAAGCGTATAAAAATGCAAAAAGTAAACTCAAAGAGATTATCCGAGTTCGGTATAGCAGTACATATAATATAAGGATAGGTGAATAAACTTTGAAAATTAAATATTGAGTGAATGTGAATAAGAGATTTTGAAATTATTTAGTGCCAGTTCAATGGATAGATTTGTATGGATGAAATGGATGAAAAAGTGTGTGTGTGTTTATGGATTAGCGAGTGCAGAAACATCTGCTTGGCTCAATTCCCGACTGAATACTCTAAATTCGTCGATATAGCCTTTGAATGGTCCCGTTAATCCTCCACTGCATCCAGATGATGAACGACTATTGCCAAGAGTGACATAATTCACCAAAGTACTTGCACTGTAGCTTGATAGAGGATTACTGGCATACAATGCACCGTTTTGATACAATTGTAATCCGTTCATTTGACTGTACGTAAGAGCAATATGAGACCAAACATTTTGTGTCAAGGAGGGTCCGATATAACTTGAAGAAATAGAATTGTAGGTTAATATACCGTTTGCACTCATAGCTAAGAATTGTAAACACCATCCCGAATTTGTTAATGGCGTACTTGAGACAATGAGGATTGTACCACCACTTGTTGATGCGATGGGTTTTATCCAGATGGAAATTGAAAAGGCATGATTTGAGATGCCAAGTGAAGTAAATCCGAAAGCTTGAAAGTAAGCTGCTGATGAATTAAATAATAGAGCTTGATTGACTCGTCCAGGTACAGTTGCACCGGAGCGTACACCGACAGCTGTACCGTTCAAACGATTGGGACCAGAATCAAGAAGTGATCCGTTGTCAAACGAATAGTAGGCGACGAGTGTCGCATCCGAAAGGACTTCACTCTGAGATTTGGCTCGATTATTGATCGACAGATGATCGATGGATCCGATGAAATAGTTGTTGGCTACACTGTTCTGTATGGTGCCGATTGTCACATTTGCACATGTACCAAGATAGGGCGGAATCGATTGTGTCGATTGACCGTCTAAAGTCCCGTTCAAATAGACTGATTGTTGTTGCAGATTTTCATCGTAGACGAATGCCACATGATACCAAGTGTTGATCTGAAGCGTTGTTCGACCCGTTGTGTTGTGACCGTAGAAGTCCATGTAGAGCAGTTTGTTTCGAATGACCAACTGAAGACATTTGCCAGTGGTCTTTGCTGTGCATTCGCCGAATATGCTACTATCAGTCATTGCCAGTGTGGTCAAATACACCCATGCTTCAATGGTGAAACTTTGATAGGCCAAGTTAACGAAGGGTGTCTGAACATATTGATTTCCACCAGTGAAGGCAATCGCTTGGCCAACATAACCCGTTTTGAATGTTGGCTTATTGTACAAGACACCATTGTAGGTGTTGAATAGATCAGTGGCATCTCCATCGAATGACCAAAAGGAAACCAAACTTTTTGTTGAGCTTGTCATATTGTTCACGGAGGAGGCTAAAAGTTGATGTTCAAGTTTATGGAACATCCTTAACTCGTTTTCGTAAGGGCGAAATTAAGGAAAGTAAACACTTGGCTGCCTTTTTTTCGGCTGCCTACTACCGAAGAAATGTTTTGGCCTTAAAGAGTCGGAGATACAAAATTATTTTCTAACCTAAGTAATCTGTTATCAGTGTTATGAGTTTGAGCAATTTTCCTCAGTTTCATCTACGACCAAACGTTCCCAGAATGTTCGTTTATATATATGCAGGGGGAAGAACAATATAATCCAGTTTGGAGTATATAGTGAACTCTTCCTACTTGAAATCCATGGATGAGGGATAGGAAAGATGGAGAATAATGAGACGGCTTTACTTACTATTTTGTGGATAAATAATGGGTTGTAATGGTGTTGTCGATGTTGAATTGTAATTGATTCCCGTTGCACATGTTGTAAAATCTATATTACAGTAATCGGTCATACAAAAACACCAATACCAATATTGTTGTAGATTTCCAACAATGTCTCGTTGTTCGATTCGAAATACCGTATTGTTTTGTCCTTCATAGACAGTTGAAGAGACACCGACTGTAGAAATGTAAGGTTGAGTATTATAATAATACGAATTTTGTGCTGGATATTGACTGTTAGATGTGAAAGCATTGATGATCGTATAAACATATTCCTCTGCTGTTAATCTTAATTGCAATGCCGTGGAGGAGCCAAAAACTTCAGATGGTTGATATTTGACACCACACATAACACTGTTAGATTTGAAATAGGTGTCACATCCTAGAAAATCGATGCCAAATCTTGCTCTTCCATAATAGTTGTAATAGCTATTAGTATCGGGATTTAGTGGAAAATACATGCAAGCACCAGTTGTGACAGAAACATACATGTAATTTAGATAAAAATTAATGGTAGCGCTATCCTGACATTGTATCGGGGCTGTGAGTTGTGGGAAAAATGATGTCAGTGGTGATGGTCGAGAAGCTTGAACTGACTGTTGACATGTTGTGAAATTGTAATTACAATTCTTAGTTGCACAGATACATAGTGATGATATGTTGTAGAATTCATAAGACCGCGGTGTACATGTACCATAAGGGTTATTCAAGTATTATCGTCATTCATGTGGCACACCTATGCGAATTTCATCCTCATTGTATCGTTCGAAAAGAAAGGTAAGAAAAACAAAGTTTAACCAAAAAGGTTTTCTGAGTTGTCCGTTAGATAGCCCTGCCTTAGAAGATTATCTAAAAAGATTCTCACATTCCCTTCGAGTCTGTCTGAGAAATTTGACTTCTACCAACAGCCAGCCAATTCTCGAGCACATTTCGATAAAAAATATGACATTACAGAAAAGGTAAAACTGTCATATATTACTTGATAGATGTCGGCAAGATGAATCAAATGATATGTGCATAAATGAATATTCGCACTCGAGCACTCAAAGATATGGTCGAAACATGTTTATTAATCAGTCCATCGTTTCTCAACTGTATTCAAGAACCCATGTATATTCAAAAGTGAAAAGTGGTACGCTTCGATTAAGCTCTTTTAGCGCTACCATTTTCCAGCGAGGAAAATTCAAAACGGTTCTTTCTTTTTCTTTCACAGCTCCCAGACTGGCAGTTAAGCCGTGAATGAACGTGAAGTGATTCTATTTGATTCAACTCCTTTACTACTATCGGCTGGTATATAAAAAGTCTGCTCTGCTCATACAAAACGAGACTAATTGTATCCGTCTCGACCATCTCACTGTTGCTGCGAAAACTGTAACTCGACCCTCTCGCTAAAAGGCTGAGATTTGGAGCGGTGTTTGACAAGGTTTAAAAACAAAGAACAAAATACAGAAAACAGAATTAAAATCCATTGGGCAGAAGTAGAATTATATATGAAATACCACTGAAGAGGGAACCTCTCAAGGTTATAAATCGCTTTTTGATCGAAATCTAATGGGTTATAGGTTATGGACCATGCTGATTCCTAATATGATTATAAGAGCTTCCCATGGTCGTTCGAAGCTCCGGTTTTCCGGAAAACCAGCTTTCCAGAAGCTCTAAAGGATAAGGAGAATCTGTAGCCCGCGAATGTCTGATTAAAATGAGACATCTCCCAGTTCTACACAACCCTTCTTTGCAAAGTTATAGAATTTACAAGAAAAGCTCTAAATGCTCAGAGGTACAGGAAAGAAATTAATTTAGGGCTTTTCGCGTAAATTCTAGCTTTACAGAGAAAGGTCGTGTAGAGCTGGGAGATGTCTCATTTTAACCAGAAATTTGCCGGCTATACTAATGTTTCATTAAAAAAAGGTTTCGGTAATTTTTAGAGTTTCTGAAAAACCGTATCTTTGAAGGAACATGGGCAGCTCTCATAATCATGTTCGGAATCAGCATGGTCGGTAACCTATAACCCACTAGATTTCGATCAAAAAGCGATTTATAACCTCGAGCGGTTCTCTCGTGAAATACCACTGAGATACCAACGGTATACAATTGCTATGCAATTCGTGCACCTCCATTATCATCATATGAAATCAGGGATAAAGCTCACTAAATACGTCATCTTTGAACAACCTCATATCCAACATCGCTTGCTGATGAAAATCCTGTACAACGTTGTGTCAGTTGTTCATAGGTATTTGTTATACTACTTACATCATATAGTGTATGATCATATTGGGAACCATCGTTGTAATAAATTGTGTCTCGTTTAATAATACAATATTGTATTTGATTTTGAGTTATATTTGTCATCACAACGTTACTAACAGACCCAGATTGAGCAGTCAGATAAAGACTTGTGTTAAACGCAGAATAAACTCCCACATAACATGTCATGGAATTTGTTGAATATAAGTTTGGGACAGATAGAAAGAAAGCAATTGTGGGGTTAATCCAGCCCAAACAAATTAGAATCAAAAGGTACAACATGATGGACGATATTTTGTTTTACTGACAAAATAACGATGAATTTTTCACTAGATATTTAGTCAAAAATTGTGTTCACGACTTTCACTTTGTTGTGAAATATTTTTGTTATAGACGCAGTAAGAAAAGGGTGAGTATATATACAGAACTATGACTTTTCACTAGAGCTCTAGAGGTAATCTCTATTGATTTTTTGCTCTTTGTGATTATTAAATAAACAACAAGGCTTCTTCATAATATATACTTATCCACAACCATATGAAACAAACACCTTAAAAAGCAATTTTTACTGTTATTCTAAATCCTTTCAAAAGTGTTTTTTCGAGGAAAAAACAAGTGAACAAGTGCTGGAGAAATCAGGTCATTTATGATTACTCATCCTAATTATTATTGTTATTCTAAACCCTTTCAAAAATGTTTTTTGGACGAAAAATATTTAAAAAGAGTGAACAAGTGGTGGAGAAATCAGACCATTTAAAATTACTAATCCTTGAACTCCATTCAAAAGCTTACCTGTGTAAACATTTTAAGGATTGAAAGCTTTGTGAACTTCAACAAAATATTTCTCAAACACAGAGCAGGCACTTTAAAGGTTGGCCTCCTTGCCGAAAATGCATTTTTCCGCTGCGAGGGTAAAATGGCTATAACTTTCTTTCTAACAAGGCTAGAGATTTGCGGTATCCACCATTCGATTCAGCTTGCTGAGCTCTGTAATATGAGGTAGGTCTCGTCACTGACGTCAAAGAGAAAGAGTTTATTATGGATATAGAAAGACGATTTTGTGTAGAATTTGATGGGAAGTTTATTAGTGGAAACTGTTTTCCGATATCTACTTTCGTTGTTGAGTTATAACATTTTTAATCGAAATCACTCCACAATGGACACTATATGAGAAAAACTTGATTTTCTACCCACGGACAACAGTTTTAGAGAACCGACAACAGGTTCCGATGTGCCTAGCAATCCTGTATCCAACCATAATATAGCAGTTTTGTTTTAAGGGGCGGCAGATTTGCTGTCCTAGCTGGTGAGGTCCTTTGGTAAAAATTCAAAGTGCTAGCTGGACGTTCCATTTATATTGACTTCGAAAGTGTACCCTACAAAAAAAAGTTTCAGTGCACCATCGCTCACTGACACTACCTGGCATAGGCATGCACCAGTGCCCAGCAAGTGCTGAACCAGTAACGATTGGCAGTGCCGACATATTTATGCCGAAAAGTGCCACACTGAACCCTTTTCTGTTACTAAAACAAGTGCCGCATTGACTAATTGGACTTGCATCGCTGAAACTTTCTTTTATTTAGCTCTTGTACTAAAGTTCTTATCCCATCTTTTTCACAATAAATTCTGTAAAAGCTGTTTCCCAGATTATTCAGAGTTTAAGGATACAAAAGTTAATTGATAAACTAAACAAACACACAGCCAAGAGATTTCGGAAAACTTTTCGTGTTTAAGACTCAATAAAGAACAATTCCATTTTATTGATTTCGTCGGTAAGCATTTAGAACGAAACTTATACAACAACGAATGCCTGCAACATTTAAAAAGTGTTTGTTTCATTGCCTGCATGTACATCGTGGTCAGTTCTATCATAACACGATCAAACATGACAAATACTAAAGCTGCTAGTTCTCTTCTCTAATAGTCATTTTCTACCCACGGACAACAGTTTTAGAGAACCGACAACAGGTTCCGATGTGCCTAGCAATCCTGTATCCAACCATAATATAGCAGTTTTGTTTTAAGGGGCGGCAGATTTGCTGTCCTAGCTGGTGAGGTCCTTTGGTAAAAATTCAAAGTGCTAGTTGGACGTTCCATTTATATTGACTTCGAAAGTGTACCCTACAAAAAAAAGTTTCAGTGCACCATCGCTCACTGACACTAGACTGACTGACCAACTAATCACATCGGCTGACCAGAAAACAGAAAATCAAACGACAATTTAGAGATCTGTTATTGCTCAAATATAAAACTGTTAAGATTTAGTAAGACTTTTTGTTCCTGTATTGTCCATCTAAATGCACGAGAGCATAATTTTCAAAATCTTTCTGGCACGGGTGCGTACCCGTGCGAAACAAAAAATATCATTCCTCACCTATGCGCACGAGTGCCACTAACAATTTTGTTTTGTAGGGCATATCATTTTGTACATATCCTAGAATTCTCATTTTATACAAAAAAGAGAAGTGGTTTTTTAAAATGCGACAAATGGCCTTGTCTATTCAGAAGTATAATTCTATTGCTCAGATAATTGGCACAAACTGTATAATACTGTAAAATAAGTCCGTATTATTTTTAAGTATAAACGTCAAATTGCGAGCGTCGTAAAGCAAGTTTGAAAGCAATGCCTTATTGACCGGAGCCTTGCAGGTTGATCTTCATCTAACCATTAAGATGTTCTGCCTAGATTGTATTAAAATTATATATTAGTCTAGACGGAATTAAAATCGAGCAATGAAACATGGATTTGTGATAAAGAATAAAGTGATAGTGCAATAATAATTTACGCCACTTAATGATCTGACGTAGAAAGACAAGGGACCGCTCGCTAATCTAAATAGAAGTATATTTCACGTATTTCTGCTTGATACATAAAACAATTTTTGATTAATTCCTGTTATCTTTTTGAATAACTTAAATTGTTTAAGGATAATAAAGAAAACAGGCTTCTAACAGGCAAGAATCTACGTATTCCAGTCTATTTGGCAGAAAGTTTCTATCGACTTATATTTCGGTATGTCCTATTTCAAATCCAACATCGTCACCTTTTTTTCCTTTTGCAGCAATCGTATATGGAAGTAATTTGGCATCGGTGTTTGTACGATCAACAGAATTTATTGGAATACCAACCCTAGTCGAGACTCCCGGCAAAACTCCAACGGGAGTCCCAAGTTTATGAAAAACTCCAGCAGGAATCGTAAGGAGTCCTGATGAC